TCAGATGTGTAGTCTGCAAATATTTTCTTCCATTCTGTAGGTTCTCTTCACTCTGTTAGCAGTTTCCTTTGATGTGCAAAAGCTTTTTAGTTTGATGTAATCCCACTTGTCTGTTTTTTCTTTTATTGCTTGTGCTTTTGAAGTCTTATTTAAGAAATCCTCGCCCAGCCCCATGTTGTGGATCATTTCCCCTATTTTCTTCTAGTGGTTTTGTAGTTTCTGGCTTTACATTTAAATCTTTAATCCATTTTGAGTTGATTTTTGTATGTGGTGAGAGGTAGGGGTTTCAATCTCCTGCATTTGGATATCCAGTTTTCCCAGCACCATTTACTGAAGAGATTGTCTTTTATAATGAAGGACCCTGGCTTCTGAAGGACAGCTGTATCATTAAGGTCAGAAACAATGAGAACTAACTTGGGTTTCAGGTTGTCCCCATGAATTGTGGCTTGTGCTTCTGGGTTTCAGCTTGTTGTGAATCTGCCTTCCCTTCCTGACTCCCCACCCTGTGGACTTCAAGCTCCAGCATCAGATGCAAAGATAACAGCCTTACAGGGACAGTTTAACCAGCTTCCACGTTGGATAGGGTCAAATCTCTGTAACAAATTATATTTCTCTCTATCTCTAGCTCCATTCTAAGGGTTCTGATTTTCAGTTTAACTGATAGAGAATTGGGACATTGACAGTACAAAATGAAAGGAGGTCTTTTGACCCCCAAAATTCTATTGGCAGGAAGCAGGTTCAGAACACCACACAACTGAAAACAAGGCTACCTTTCATGGAAAAGGAAAGATGACTCAGAGGGCAGAACCAAGAGCCATGGAGAAGTTATTTCCAAGTGGGAGTAGAACTGTGTCCTAATCAAAGAACTTGCCACATTTTCCTGGTTAGATTTCAGAATTGCTATGGACAAACGATTTTTGTATACTTTCTATTCTGCTATCCCTTTTAAACAGGAATATCTATAGTGGTTATCCGATGCCTGTCCCACTATTGTATATTGAGTATGTGGGGAGAAGATAATTTGTCTTCTTACTTCACAGGTGTTTAGTTTGAGAGAACTATACTCAATGAGTTGTATTCTCTCTCTCTCTCTCTCTCTCTCTCTCTCTCTTTTTTTTAAAGGCTGTATTCAAGTAATTGCACCAACAGACATCTACACCTGGACTTGATTTAGATGATGAGATTCTGGACTTTTAGCCTATGCTGCAGTGGAATAAGACTTTGCAGGTGTCTTTGGAAGAGAATGAATGTATTTTCATGTGAGAGGTATGCGAATCATTGGGGGCCAGAAGGCTGACTATGGTAGTGGGCTTTCAATATGGCCACAATGATCTCTACCTCCTGGTATTCATAGCCTTGTGTAGTCCCTTCCCTCTTTATACCAGGCTTGGTCTGTGTGACCAGTAGAATATGGCAGCAGTAAAGTTATGTGACTTTTGAGATTAAGTCGTAAGGACACTGCAGCTTCTGTGTTGGTTGCTCTGTCTCTTGGACCATTTGCTCTGGGGGAAGCCAGTTACCATACCATAAGAACAATCAAGCAGCCCTGTGGAGAAGTCCATGTTGTGAGGAATTGAGGCCTTTTTCTAACTGCCAAAGAGGAATGGAGGACTTCAGCCAACAGTCGTGTGGGTGAGTCATCTTCAAAGCAGATCCTCTAGACAAGGTCAAGTCTTCAGATGACTGCAACTCAGCCTACAGCTTAACTGCAGCCTCATGAGAGACTCTGAGCCAGAACCATCCAGCTAAGCTGCTCATGGATCCCTGATCATCAGAAACTGTGTGAGATACTAAGTGTTTGTTTTAAGCTGCTAGATTCTTTTATGCAGCAATAGATAACTAATATGAGGGTACTTCAAAAAGTTCATGCAAAGTTTCATATTATCTTTTAACTACATTTTTTCAATGAACTTTTTGAAGTACCCTCATAGAAGGCCTAAATATAAGTATAATCTTTCTTCTGCATGGCTATGAAAGCCAAACAAAAATGAAGAGGCACAGAGAAAAGTAAATTGTGTTTTGGTCCACTATCTGCTTTTCTTAAATGCTCATTTAGACTCCTTTAAACCTGGGCCTGTGGACAAATACTTATTCAGCACTCCTAAGCTAATTTTGAAGAACATAAGAAAGAGGGTTAGTTTCAGTAATAGGTATACATACGTATCTTCTTTGAACTGGAGAATCTACTTTTGAGAAGATAAATCATGAGATTTTTCCCAGAGTCTATTCTCTTCTCTGCTATCTTTCTCAGGTTGAGATTTAAAGTTTCATTTATTATTCTAGTTTAAAGATTGTAAAGTATGATTTGATTTCCTCTTAGGTTCTGTTATGGAAACATTTGGAAACAAGAAAAATAAGAATATATTTTTTCTAGACTCTATTTCTCTTTTCGTCCTATAATCAATTTCAGTAACTTTAACAACAAACAGTAAAAATGATAGAACATACAAAGCATTGCCCAAGTAAATCCATTGTGAACCTGTCTGAGAGTGGTTTTCTAAATGGAGGAAATATGTTTTATACAAAAAGCCCATTTTCTGTTATTGCCTTTTTTACTTGGACTACTAGAAGCTATATATTTTAAGGCAATCTTAATAGTTTCCTGTCTCTCACTAACAAGAATGACTTGTCATAATGAGCAGTGTAGACAATTTCCATTTGATCCACTCCAGCATGCTGTCTATTTGATACAAGAGTAAATCACCTCAATTCCTTTGTGTAATGAATGGAGTATAAATAAATACATGAGACATGAGAATAAAAAAAAAAATGATCAGTTCTATCAGAAAGAGACAAAGTTTGTCTCATTTTGAGGCCTGGTTTAATACAAAAATGTGACAAGACAAAGAATTGTATGTGTTACCTATAAAGGGAGGAAGAATCCTCATTAATAAAAATTATCCATGGAATAGTTTCTTTCATTAGAAAGGAAGATAATTTTGTAGTTTAAGAAAAATAGTTTTCAATTCTCTGAAGTTGGAAGACCTATATTGTAAAATGACTTTATTCACTTTTACCTCCACCAGAAAGAATTGTAGTTTTCAGTACTCTTTCTAGAATTCATCGCATTTCTAAAACCAGGTAGGAATTTCACATACCATTTTGGGAAATGGGTTTGTTTTGGGCGTGTCTTTTTTGTTATTTTTTTTTGCGTGTTTTACTTCATTGTAGTTTTTGTCTTGTTTTTGTTTTGAGAGGCAAGACATGTACTCCAAAATGTTTTAATTTTTTCTTTTACAATTAGTGTTTGATGTTCTCTAAGAGAATTACACAAAAACGTCATACTGCATTTTACTTAATTTTTTACTAGTACTGAGATTTTTTTGATGAAATATTAATAGAGTCATCATTTTATGTTAATTTTAGGATTCCAGCTGGGACGAAAGATAAATTATGACAAATTTGTGCCCTATAGGTACGGGGAAGTAGTAAAGTGATTCTCAAAATGCCTTGCATCCACCTATGGAGATTAACATGCAAATTCTCAGGCCCCACCCTAAAAAGACTCAATCAGTATCTCTGGCGGTGGGACGTGAGAATCCAAAATGTAATAGGTTTTCTCTAAGATTCTAATGCAAACTAAAGTTTAAGGGCTATTGATCTAGTGAAGATTGGAAGGTAGACGATTAAACTATTTACATTGTGATTTGAGCCATGATACCAAGTTCAAAATATGATAGAAGCATCCAAGAAAGAGCCACTATTTATAGCAAGGGAAACATTGGTAAAGGCTTAACAGAGGAACTGACATTTGTGTGTGGTTTTGAAAATGATGTGCCTTGCCAAGAAGGGAAAGAGGGTGCGGCTGGGGGCATCCCAGTGAGTACTGTTTCCAAGCATATTTTTACCATGAGAAATACACAGTGGACACTGACTAAATGCTTTGCCCTGGCAGTTCCTATGTAAAGATTTCCTCCATGAGCCTGATTCTGTATTCTTCGATTCTGGGGTACGAATACGGTTACACGCTAGGTTTTGAGTGATTTTAATGGTTGAGGCACCTGAATGTAATAAATGAGAGTACTTCAAACAGTTCATGGAAAAATGGAATTAAAAGATAAGAATTCTTCCTTGAACTGTTTGAAGACCGCTCGTATATGTGTTTGTATAAATACATATATATTTTACACATACACACGCACTTTTTAAAGGCTTTAAAGGAGCCAGAACGTGTCTTTTTGGGTTTTAGAGAAAACCTGTAAGAAGATTTATAGATAGAAGACAGCCAATAAGTATTTGTTGACTAAATGACCAAGTTGGAGTGAACGGATTTTATAATTTTACTCTGCTAATCACACCAGTAATTTTCTTTTTAATGCTTGCAGATGGACAATGATACCTATGCCTATTTAGCCTTCTGTTTTTGTTTTTCTCCAGGAATAGTGCCTAGAACTCCCTACACTTCCTTCGTAGTGGGAGAAACCAGTCACCCCAAAAGTACGGATTAGGTAGAAGAGTCATGTTAACAGCCAATCGGAAAGCTCTCCCGAGCAGCTCCAGACCGGATTCTCACGGAGGACTGGCGGAAGATGGGACTTTGCTACCTTCATTCAATCGGACAAAGAAGGCCATAATAGTTTAGGGCGGTCGAAAATTCCCTGTGGGTTACCAGGCAAGGTATTAAACCTCAGCGGGGCTGACCATTACTCAGAAGGCCACTTAATGGGAAAACTTCTAGGCACCACGGACAAATTATTTTCCGGGATCCTGGAGAAAGAGTCAGCCGTTGTGGCGGTACCAGCACTCAAAATGGCAGCAAAGCGCTTCAGACGCGGGATCAGGTGACGCAGTCCCTAGTCGGCTCCCTTCCCACCGCCGCTCCTCCTCAAGCTTCCTTTCGCAGTGGTGGGCGTGGCTTGCCTGGAGGCTCTCCGGCGGCCGGGAAAAACCAAGGGATGCACATGCGCAGTTGGACGCCTTAGGCGCTTGATTGCCTCCTCCTCCTCCCCGCCCTTCGCCCCGCCCCGACCTTCCGGGCGGGGCTGGGCCGAGAGTCCAGCTACTGCTGGCTGGAGATTCTGTGACTTCCTTGTTGTGAGCCCCGGCCTGGCACTGTCCGTACTCGTAGTCCCGCTGTCCTTACCGGGACCGTTAGCCCGACTCTAGGTCGCAGCCGCCACCCTCCCCCGTCGGTCACCCTTTCAGCACAGGTCCTATCCCCGCACGCCCCGCGCTACCTAACATGCCCGACCCCAGCAGCACCTCCTCTCCCCACCCCCTCCCTGAGGAAATTAAGAACCTGTTGGCAGGTAACGAGCGGGAAGGGGGCGGATAACGCTGCGGGGCGGGGGCGAGGGGACGGCGAGCCGGTGGGGACAGAAGCTTTCAGGAGTTCTTACTCTCCTTCCCGCCGCTGTCCAAATATTCCGGCCAGTGGGGACGGGACAGGGAGCAGGGGAAAAGGGTGTTTTGTGTGAGAAGGGGAGTGGGCGTGTGTGTTGAGATTTGGTGCGGTGATGGTGGCAAAGCCTTCTTGATGGTCTGCACTAATGGGATCAGGACAATTCTGTGTGTGTCGTGACGATGCCGTGTGTGTGTGCGTGTGCGTGTGTGAGAGAGAGACACACAGAGACGCACAGGCGTGGGAAGGACAGGGAGAGGATGAGAGAATGATAATGGGAGCAGAAGTCAAGTAGTTCTTGGGTGGCCCGGCCAGTGGAGGTCGAAGGTGTAGAGATGTAAAGAAATGTCAGAGCCACAGGTGTTAGGGTTAGGGGGTGGAAGAGTCTGTCTATTTCTAAAACTCCCATTTTTCTTGAACATTCAGTTCACTCATATTTAAGACTTTTGAAGAGGGCCTGATTCTCAAATGGCCACTTATCTTCAGCCTCTGTAACATATTACAGCAAAAAAGGAAGGATGTGTTAAATTCCTACTTCCTGTGTCACACGATGAAAGTACTTGGTCTTTGCATCCTCATCTTCCCCTTTTCAGTTTTACGTTACCATTTATAGGAACTTATTTTAGAAGTTAAAAATGTGGTTCTTCAATGCTATTGTGAATCCACTACTAGTTCATTAATGTACTGGATATGGAGGTGTGTGTTTTCATTAAGGACCAATGAAAAATTTCTTCACATAGTAAAAAAAATGTATCTTTTTATGGTAGCACAAATCTTGCCTATCTGATGTTCTGGAATTCTAACCACCATTTACTTTGTCTTGTGTCCATTAGAGTTCTGGAAACTGAATTTTCACTGTTTTACTTTAGTTGTCTCCAAAATATTTGTCTTTCAATATTATTGATCATGAATAACTGGGTTAAAAGAGTTTGTCTTAGATACCTGTGTTACAAGTTGCTTTTTAACTCTTAAAAAGCAATGTCAACTAAAATGTGATATTTATAATAGTAAATTACCGCTGTGTAGTTTGTTTGAGACCAGATCTCCTAATATGCTGTTATACTATTTTGATGGTTAGCATCATGAATTTAATAGAGTAAGTAAAACTAAGTGTGTGAATGCAGGCTTATGTTTGTATGAACACGATACAGTATGATGAGTGCATTTGTAGTGGTATAGTATTTTACTCAAAGAAATGCTTGTTTTCATTAATGGTTACCACTAAGGGAAATATTGAAAGAACTGTAGAGACTGATTTAAGTCAGGTTTTATTCCATTATATGTGAGTTTCACATGAGCACTGATTTTGTTTTACTACAGTTAACATTTTTGTTGTTACAGTGCTGGAATTTCTTGGTTAGAATATTATTGTAGGGCTAGGCAGTTAACTCAGTTAGTTAGAACATGGTGTTGATAACACCAAGTTCCAGGGTTCAATCCCTGTACCAGCCAACCGCCAAAATAAAACCAGAAAAGAATATTATAATAATCAGATCAGTGTTTATCATTATTCAAAAAATAGATGTTACCATTTTCAGGGTGTTCTAGGTCTTTATTTTTGAATTTAAGAAATAAAGTGCAGACCTCTAGGTGTGTGTTTTTAAAGCTTGGCAGTTCCCAAAGTAGAGCGTTTACTATTTGGATCCATAATTATACATTTACAGATAATATAATATATAGGTTATGAGACCCTTTATTCTCATATCCACAAGTATTTCATGTGGCCCTTGTTTGTATAATTTAACTAATTACATATTTAAATTATCTGCCAATGCTAACTTCCTGTATATTTCTGCCATCTCTTTGGTCACATAATATACTAGCATAATGTTTGAAATTAGCTTTTTAAAAGTCATTTTATTGACATTTTATTTCACATTATTAAAGCAAATCACATATGAAAAAACACAAAGTATTAACAACAAATATTAATACATTAAAACTTTGGGGATTATACATTTGTATTACACTTTATTTTCAGAGGGTGTCTTTGAGAGGTATGGGTGTGAGTTGGGGAAGTGTATATATTTAAAGAAATGAAACAAGTGAACCAGGAAGGTTGTTAGCATTTTATGTTTGACAGTAACTAAAATCTTTTTGAGGTAGGGAAGGTGTCACAAGTAGATGCTCTCAGCAGTTATTTCACATGTTATCCAAGAAATATTGTTGTAGTTGTGCACAATGGTTTGTGTAATTCAAGTGTATTGGGTATAATTCATGATTAGATTTAGAATTACTAGAACTATAGAGGAGGTGTTTGTATTGGTTTGAGTTTTAGAGATATTGCTGGCAGATTGTCTAGTATGTTTTCTTTGAAACTAAGAAGATATTGGTAGTGGTGGTTGTAGTTAACCCTTGAGTGCTCTTAGAATGCATAGCACTATGCTAGAATTCCAAAGTAGAGAAAATGAGGAAACTTATCTTCATTTAAACTCTTCAGGAGTTGAAAATGCTTTGCTTTCAGAAAAAAAGAATATAAAGTCAAAAGGTAATGGCTATCAAAATAACGTTGCTTAGGGATTTCTCTTTGTGTTCCATGTGCCTATTACCCAAATTGTTATGTCATATGTGTTACTGTTTGACATTTCATCTGCTTGATAGGGAAAGGTGCTCAAATATATTCTTGTTACCATATTTATTATTTTTCTTTCTCTTTATTTTTCTTTCTGATTATGGCAATTTTAGGCTACCCTTTCAATATTTGTCCCCTTTATCCCTTCCCCTTTTGAAAACATTCTATAGAAATGCAAAATAAGTAGAGATTTTTCATTCTTAGTTCAAATTTAATGATACCCTTGAGAAAGTAGATATATAGTTTAACTGTTACACTTTATGTGGAATCAGTATGTTAAATCTTGAAGGCTTACACTTTTTATAAAAAGTGTCAAATTCTTTCTGTTGTGTGACTAGAAAAGGGTTTACACAATTTTGTTAAAAGCAAATTTTGAACTGCATATGCACTACAGGCAACCTTTGATTGCCCCCACCCCCCACAACAATGGAAGAACAGGTTTAGCCTGGATAATTAAAATCAAAGGATAATCCCAAATGTTGTCCATTTAATCTTCTCCGACATCCAAATATTTTGACTAGGGCTAACAGCAAGAATAATCTTGATTTATGTGAGTTTTTTCCTCCAGTCAGGCAAGAGAGGAACTAGAACCACTGCTCTCTACCTCCCTTCATTTGTTTAATCATCCTTTAAATGCTGGTTTTTAGTAGTTTGCAATCAGATATTCTCATTCATCGTCATTCATTTGTTTTAGGACAACAAATTTAAAAAAGAAAACTGTAAGCAGATTTTATTTTCTTTTTATTAAATTAGAAAGTGAAACCAATGTTAAAAGAAGAAAATAGTGGTTGTCAGTGCTCGGAAAAATCAAAACCAAACCAAACAAACAATAAACAAAGTGGCTATATAGTTTCTGCAGTGACCTTGAGATTTTGTTCACATGGCAGTCTTGATTAGAAATATTGCATTTTTTCCTATTGGAGATTTCCACAACTTTTTTTTTTTGTTTTTTTTTTTTAACCTTCACACATTACAATCGATAATCCCTTTAGGGGCACTAAATAAAAAATGCAATTCAGTTGAAATAGAGGCAGAAGTTTTTCAATGCTGAGTATAGTATGGCTTGATTTCTGCATTTCCGAAGTTACATTTATAATTTGCTCAACATTTTGCTTTTATTTTTCCTATGAGAATTATTTGTAGTGTATCTAGTGTCCCATAACTTCCTTCTGGGGCATTGGCTGAGTATATAAAGGGAAGAGTGCCACCTACTGAGTCACCAATAGTCACCTACTTTTTTAGCACCTGGAGTTTCCTACAGAGCAAGAATAAGCCTGACCCATTTTGGCAGCCATAACTAATGAGCATAAAGTTGATATGGGAACATTTAATCTCAAAATGAAGTCAATCTTTGACACCACTAATATTTTCTCTGCTAGAAATAGGAATATATGTTTGTAAATCAAGGGATCAGAAATTTATAGAGTTTTTTCTTTGGATCAAATAATATAGATGGAATTAAAATGTGATGTTAGGGAAATTATTTGCCTATTTATCTTAAGTGTATAATGTCCTGCTTTTTCTTGGGAGGGGATCTTTTGCATGGCTTTCCACTGAGAGTATTTTCATTTCAGATTACTAAATAAGGCTCTTGATATCATTATGCTGGGTGTTTTGTTTTCTTGGTGGCTGGTTGGTACAGAGATCAAACCCTGTATGCAGTTTTTATAGTTACTCAATCCAAATGATTATTGTTTTCCTTTTAGAAGAGGAATCTAAATATGCTAAAAAATGAGCAGTATATGAAAAATTTCCAAATGAGCTTATCTCTACCTTATCAGCATCAAAGTAATACTAGAAAGAAGATAGAAACAGTAGGAAAAGCCGCTGGTGATTTGAAACAGTTCAATTGTCTCTCATAAATTTAAGATTAAGTGTCATATACGGGTGATAAAAGTGGCATAGGCTAGGTTTTATATACTCATTATTCACTTAGTTTGTCTTTTTCAATTAAAGCCAAGTCTATCTTTTTCATTCCACTGAGTTTACATTTCTTTTTCAATCACATTCTGAACATATTACAATAGATGCTGCCTAACAGTGAATATAGTGTAAATCTCAGACTAAAGTGTAATTCACTGTGGCTTCTTTGAAAATTAGTGGTAAAAACATTTTGATTATTGTAAGGTGTGATTTATCAATAGTCATCTTTCAGAGGTTGAAAGATGTTTAGCTTTATCTTTCAACAGCCCAACTTTCTATCAAAATAAATCATTTAGCCTCCAAAGCCAATTTTGAGACTTTTGTCAGGTGATTGGATTGTAGGACTCAGGTATGTTTTACCGATTATATTGTGAGAAATAAGAATTCTTGTGCCTGTTCATGTTTTTTCATGTTAGAAAAGTCCATAGTTCAACCATAACCTATAAAAGTGCTAGGTAATCAAGGGAAAGACATTGATTAGAACAATCAATAACTTTTCAATTAGCCATTTTCAACTTTGGGCATTTGGCTCCATTGATCGGCGTGTGCCCAATTTAATTGATTTTTATGTTTTTACCAGTAGTTGTTTGGTCAGACCATGCCCTGTTTTACTAGAAAAGAAAAATGTGTCTTTTTGTTCTGACAGGAGCTTAAATTCTAGGTTAGGATCCTGACCACATTAGTTTGGTGACATCACATCTCATGTTCAAAGTGAATACAAAGTGAAACCTGGCCCAATTCATAAAGTAGAGAGAGACGTGGAATTAAAGTAGTAAAACCATTTGGGGTACTATGTGATTGTTTTTACACATATGTTATTCATCTGGAGCAGAGCAAATGGTGATGAATTCAGCCCAGTTCTTGCCCCCTCCCCTATACAGTTAAGGCCATCACAGGCTGTATGTGTGTGTGCTCACACGTGCATGTATAGAGAGGTACTGGGTCGTTGGGGCACTAGGCAGGAAGACAAGGGTGTTACTTTTGTGACTTATTTACAACCTCCAGCTTGCAAGTCCTATTCCAGGCTGTTTGCTAGTGGGGGATGGTGAGGACAAGTGGTCACCTCAGCTCTCTTCAAGAGTGGGAACCTTTACTACCTAGGTTTCGAGAAGACAACAGTTGATTTTATTGTTTGCAAGAATTTTAAAACTGTGCTAACCTTGTTTGTTTCCACCTTTTCACTGTGTGATCTGTATGGAAGTTGGTAGAAGCCAGTTAGAGAGAGAGAGAGAGAGAGAGAGAGAGAGAGTGGTGTGTGTCAGATACCTGTCCCAACCACTCCAGGACTCCAAGGGAAGATGAGATGGCAGTTTTTCTAGGGATTTTGTAGGTACAAAAAAAAAAGAAAAGAAAGAAAGGAAAATTGGAGTACCATTCAGTGGTTCAGTGTTAAGTGTTAACCTCTCAGGGCTATTGAGAGGTTTCCAAGTTAAACTGCTTAAGGATTGCTGATCCAGAACATGCCATCTTTCAATTTTATTTTCAGACGTTAACATTTATCTACAGAGCAGTTGTAAATCTGATCTTTTAGTGGCTTTCTCCCCCAGATCCTTACAGCTGTACAGGGAGATAAGGTTTACTCTTGACAATGTGAAGGTATAACAGGAGCAAAAATCACCACCACGTTTACTTTTGCCTGAATCACTTTTTCCTGATGATGACGGGGGGCGGAGGCGGCTGATGGAGGCGGGTGTAATTCTGGGCTTAAATGCAGGCTGCGCAGACCTGCAGTCTATGTGGCTGCGGGCCGGTGGTGGAGCGGGGGAGGGTGGTTGACCTGGTGCGTTGGGCGCGCCCGGTTTCCCGGGACCTTCTACCTGAGAGGGAGGGCCGGGTGGGCCGAGCAAGAGAGGATTTCTACCTCACCAGGCCAAGAGGCAAGCGGCAGGCTGACCTTTCCTTGTAATCACATTAGGGTGTTTCCCCGAATTACAGGCAGTCGGGAGGCAGTGAAATCTACATATTAACTGAGGGACGCGACCCCTAAAGAAAGGAAGAAGAAGGTTAACGCGCTTGCTAGTTTACCGCGCTCGCTAGTTTACTGTCTGAGAGCTATTGAGAGCACAATAAAAAGCTTCAAATCTCTTTTCAAACCAGCCAGAGGAGCGCTTGATTTGCCCAGGACTTTTATTGCTCGCTTTTGAAATATTACCCTGGCTCTGAGCTACAAAGCCTCAGATCCAGCCCCATTTGTCTGTCAAGGGCGCTGCCCCATACCCGGCTCTCCCTGCTCACAGCTCCGCTGATGGGAATCCTGGGCTTTAACACTCGAGAGTCGAGTTTCTCAGAGAGCAGAGCTGAAGCATCTCCCAGGAAAGACCGAGTGACTTCTTGGCGCTTGCTGCACCTTTGCGCTGGGGGAGCAGGGTTGTGCCTCGTGCAGGCTCCCGGCCGAAGGCTGCCGGCACATCCAGTGTGTCTCCTTTGCCTGGGAGAGGCTGGTTTTGTTCGATTCGAAAATAAACGGGCAAAGTGTAGATTTTAAGAAATAACCTAGCTTTCAAAAGTTGTAAAACCAGCCAAGTCTGGGCAATCAACAAACTAAGATTATTGCAGGAACTGCTTCCTGTTTAAAGTGCTTAATTTACTTAAGGAAACAAAACAAAACATACCTAGCTTTCAAAAGTTGTAAAACCAGCCAAGTCTGGGCAATCAACAAACTAAGATTATTGGAGGAACTGCTTCCTGTTTAAAGTGCTTAATTTACTTAAGGAAACAAAACAAAACATCAAACAGCAAAGCAGTTCCTGCTCTCGCCACGTTTCCTTTGAGAAATAATTACCAAAAAAGTCAATGTTTAGTAAATCTTTTCAGTTGCCATAAGCCATTTTCTGGAAAAAGCTTGGGAATAAATACATTTAAAAGACTAAAAATATAGATATTTTTCCTTACCCAATCTCTGAATATCCCTCTTCCCCTACCCAACCCATAGTGATTCTTCTTGCAGTCCGACATTCTTTCAGCAAATATTTTCTCATAAAATAGTAGCATGGATCAGTATTTTAAAAACATTTGGGGGGGGGGGTTGTTAGGAAACACTGTATAGAGCATTGTAGCCTGTTTTGTTTTCTGAGTTTTTAATAGAACTGAAATGACCTTTAAAAGAAATAACTCTTGGGCCATAATTCGTTCTGTTATTGCGTCGGGAGATAGAAAATAGATCCCGTTTGTTTACCCTTTATTGTATAATGAAAATGTAAAATAGGCAATTAAATACTCGTGGAAGAGGGAATTAAAGGCAAACAGTGAGTGAAAATAACATTAAGCAGACTATTCACCAGTCATTGTGCCAGTGATTCCACCAAGTATTGAGAGGGGTTGGAAGAGAGAATCAGCAATAGGAATGTACTTCTTCCCTAAGTCCACTTTGTCATAGGAGATACTGTAACCATCTCAGGGAAGCCGATGGTCTGATGGTCTTTTTCCATTTCAGCTAGTAATCTGAATGTCCAAAGCTTGCTTGCTTTGGGTACAAAATTTAAATAATTTAGAAGGGCACGCATCTTTATAAGTTTCTTTATTTTGTACTCACTTTAGATGTTTGGGTTTAATTTGCACCGGTACTGGATAATGTCTCTATGTCCCCCTTTTCAAAATATAGGCAACTCAAGAAAAGAGAAACTGAGACATTTTGCTTTCATTTCATTTTGATACTTTTAGCACATTACTCATTAATGGACTTTAAATCAGAAACTATTTTTAAATATTATTACAAGATTAAATTTTAATTATTTCACTTGCCATATTGACTTAGTGAAAAATTACCTTTACACGTTTATTATGAAGGTGTAACTGTTTAATCGCCTTTCCTCATTGGATCAAGATATTTTTGAAATTAAGAACTTAAAATCAGTTACAAACATTCTACCCCATATACTAGGTTTAAAATCATTAATTGTAAGTAGGTGATAGTATTTATTATGCTACTTGGAATTACTTACATATATTATTATTATGTGTTGACTCCATCTTTTTATCAGTGTGAGTTAGGAGACAAAGTAATTAAATAGAAAGTAAAACAAGCATACATCTCTTCAATATGAAATATGGATGATTTATAGCCATGCTTGCTTAAAATTTTTTTTGTAGTATCCTCTTTATTAGATATTTCGAGATGAGCTTTGAAATTCTGGGAATAAAATTAAGTTGCACAGTATTTCATGAGCAACAAGAATGGAATTATTATAAAAATCAAACCTTGGAATTTTACATGAGAGAGAACAGACAACAGAATAATTTAGAAGTTTACTAAAATTTTTAAAAAGAGGCTATGGGGGAATGTAGTGGAAGAATCCATTTTTCTACTTCTTCCTTTATTTAAGAAATATTTCAGGTGGTGTTGATAGCAAGACAGGAAGCAAGAGCTCACAAAAGTACACAACTGGTTATCTTTTTTATTTGAGGGTGGCCAGAGTGGGTGGGGCAGGTAGAAAGGAGTTGATTTGGGAATCTTGGCTAGAAAAAAGGGATTTATTTTTTCCTTTAAAGAATTAAACATTGTGTATGTCTGAAAATGGATGACACTGGGAAAAATAGACCCTTGCCAGAGACATTAGCTTATCTTTATGTAATATATTGTGAATGACCTGTTCATATAGGAACTTACAAAATACTATAAAATGATAGTAACACATGCATAAAAGCTTGGTGCTTGCTTTTATATGAGAATTTGTTTTATGGGGCACCATAATTTATTAAAACTTGTGTGCTTCTTCCTGGTTTAATGATGCCAGGCATCCAAATAGCATTTGCTGTGCTAAGCACATAAGTAGAACATACAAATTTTATTAGCTAAGTGGTGAACAGATTTTTCCAATTTAGTATTTCAAACATACTTCAACTCTTATGCTTTGGATTGATAAGTAACTATAACAAATTGTACGATATTAACACTTATATGTAGAAACAATCATTATCCTATTTGTCTTCACAAAAAAATGATTCTTATATTGTGTATCCTGTTTCTTACATTTCATGGTTTAGATGTTGAAACATTTGTAGCAGACATACTGAGGGGGGAAAATTTATCCAAGAAAGCGAAGGAAAAGAGAGAATCCCTTATTAAGAAGATAAAAGATGTAAAGTCTACGTAAGTCATTTGCCTTTTATTAATAATTTCTTATTTAGAAGCAACTTTGTAATTAACATTTTAAGAAGGAATTGAATATCATGGAGTTAAATTTTTTATGTTCTAATTTAATTGCTGTTGAGTATTCTTAAAGGACAAAGATATATTTTCATTGTAATAGTTTTTAAACACAGACATGCTTATCATAATGCTCTTTTTTTGTGAAGTCTCTTGATTATGTATTTTTCTAAGCATTCTAGCAAAATCCAACTGTTTATTTTGATTATCTGAGGGTATATTTGATTTAATTGATAAGGCATAAGTAGATTGAGGATTTTAATATAAACATGGAAAATACCTCAGACACTGAAAAAGATAATCCTTTTAATTGTTACTACTTTAAATGAATAAATGTAATATAGATTATAGGTATTAAAGATATCTTCATTTTACTACTGTACTTAAATCTTTAAAAATAATTTTATTATAAATTCCTAAGCCTTTTGGAATTGTCATTTCGGGACAGGAAATAGTTTTTTCTCTAGGTGTATATTTATGGTATAGATTTTGGATTTGAATTATTGCCACTGGTAATAACTTGTTTTGATTTTCAACCTCATTTTAAAATATAATGTTCTCTTATTTTGCAGCTATCTTCAAGAATTTCAAGACAAAGGTAAATTTTCAAGTTTGCCAAACTTGAAATTTTTTTTCCTCTGTGGAAATTTTCAATAGGATAATCTAACATACTGAAATTTGACAGTTGGAATCAAAATTTGAATTTCCATATTGTATACTTAGACCTTCAAGATGAGAGTGCTAGCTCCCCCTGCTGAGAAAAAAATTAAAAAGCATATCCAGAATCTACTCTGTACAGTCTTCTGATGCAGAAATCTCCGGTTTTGTGTTCTTAGAGTACATTGCCTACAGTTACACATGAAATAAAGTGGTGAAGCAGCAGTGTGATATCAACGCGATACCATTTAACACTGCAGAGATTATTTTATAGTAGTGGTGGGAGCAGGAGGGCCTGTGGCTGGGTGCTCACAGGTAACATTTTTGAAGGATTTTTTAAAAGCAGTATAAATTTTTGTCTGAGAACACGAATAAAATCTTTTTTAAATGCTAATTTTTACTTTCCTTGTGGTTCTTTTGATATGAATAAATATGTGCTATAGAAATTTTTAAAGAAGGGAATTCAATTTCATTTTTTTTTTAACTATGTGAGAATGTTGGTAACCTGATTATCTTCCTTTGGAATTAAGAAACAGTTGCTTAGCATACCAAAAACCAGATCAGGACAGGCATAGGAAGTTCCTACTACTTCATGTATTCAGTTCTGTAAAGGAAACTGAGTATAGCCCGTACTTTCTTGATGCTAATTCATAGGTCATGACCTACATAGTGGATGCTGGTATGAGGATCATAACATGAGGTCAGTTAACCTACATGGAGCTAGGTTCTCGGTTTAAGGAAAAAACAAGAGTGTGGCACTTTCTAACTGGGGTTTGCAGATGCCACGGACTAATTCATATTTGTGCCAACTGATAAGTGAGAGGGTAATGACAATTTCAATAAACCAAGTACTTAACCAGACAATCCTAAAAATCAGTTAAAAGGAAGTCACAGTTTCTTTTCACACTAAATCATCAAGGTCAGTGTGATTGAAGAGATGAGATTTTTTTTCCATATTAATATTCTTAACACTATTAAATAAACAGAAGAGTGGGAAATTTCTCCTCCCCACAGGTACCCACTTTTTTGTGCTGTACAGTGAATCCTTAACTATGAGCTTAATTGTGTTGCATTTTCCTTATTTGAATATAAAAATGAATTTATACATTTTAATTGTGATAACTTTTATATTATTTATATTATTTATGGAGGAATATTAGATACTCGATTCTGCCTCTCTTCCTAAAAGTCATATTTTGTTCCAGTGATTACTTATTGAACTCTCATTGTGTCTTAATTATTTGTGCATTAAAAAACTTTAAGCCGTTGCCAGTCCCCAGTACGGGCGCGACACCGAGGGTTGCGATCCCGTTACCAGTCAGTAAAAAAGACAAAAAAAAAAAAAGGAAAAAAAAAAATTTTAAGCTAAGAAACTATGATAAGTTGTTGTATAGCTGTATATGGTTCAGTAATAGTGTAGGAACTTTCCCTTTGGTATTTATTCTGTTTTAGAAATTGTTCAGGTGTGCAGATACTAAAATTACATTACTGAGATACATTCTTTGTGTCCAAAGAGAATAGAAGTTTATAAAGTATTTGATAGAAATTGAAAAATGAACCTAAAATAAGAGAGGAGTCAAATAACGTGGAATTCAGAGATTCCCCATAATCATTTCCCTCTGAATAAGTCATTTGTAGTTCAATACTACTATAATGAGTTAACTAATCACCAAGAGTGCCTGCTAAAAAATAAGCCTATGGATAAATTACATGTAGACCTTGGAGAAATAGGAGGAGCTGAGTAATTTTATAACCTTGAACTCTCAAAGTATATTCAGCTTTGTTCTAAAAAGACTATTTCTATAGTTTGTTAGGAATTGTAAAGGGTACAGATATAATAGTTGCAAAGTAATTATTCAGAATACATTGCTTTTTAAAAATAGGAATTTATTATCAGATCTCTACATAGAGTAAATTCAATTCTAAGGATGTTTTGATAGTGCCCCTACATTTTTCCCTTTGGTATTAGAGTCTTCATCCAAGGAGATCGGGGCAGAATTCCTTTTGGCTGTTTTCCTGGCGTGCGTGTGCGCACACACTCTCTCTCTCTCTCTCTCTCTCTACCCCTCCCCCCCCCATCTCTTAGGTCAATATAGCGTCATAAGAAAGTAACAGAAGCGTTTTCTTCCTTTTTACCTTTATATCTCTATTTGTTTTATATACTGTGTTTTTAAAATGGCAGTTTAGTACCATTTTAATACCATTACCAGGAGAAAAAATGGCCAGGTAGAGAGTTTTTAAATAAAATGAGTCGATTCAGATTTATTTGTGTCTAATAAGTCGGCTCCTAATTTCTCTAGTGTACATAGATGTCTATCACCCTTCCTCACTTCCCTCACTTATCACGCCCTCTCTTAACCTATATAATCTCCCATCCTGAGATTAACAATACAGAATTTGCAGTTTGATGTATTTTGATTCTTAAAATTAATTGAATTGATAACGATTGTTGAAACACTGAGCTGCATAGGTCTCAGAAGACTTTGTTTTGTATTTCCATTTTTGGCAAGAATAGTTTGTCAATACAGAATTTGCAGTTTGATGTATTTTGATTCTTAAAATTAATTGAATTGATAACGATTATTGAAACACTGAGCTGCATAGGTCTCAGAAGACTTTGTTTTGTATTTCCATTTTTGGCAAGAATAGTTTGCATTGGTATAAACTTAATTACAGTGGCTTCTAGATATTGAGGCTTGTCCATTAAGCTGATTTTCCACTAATTCATTTATATTCATTTCTATAGAAATCTGTTGTTCTAAAACTTCTCTTTTCATTTCTTTCATTTATTAAGGTTCTCCTTTTAAGTCCTTATATACTCAAGCCTAGATTCCCCATTGGAGAGGTCTGACAAATTTGAATTTTAGAACAATTATGTTGGTTTCCTTTTTTTTTAATGGCAGCTGGCTGGTACAGGGATCCAAACCCTGACCTTATAACACCGTGCTCTAACCAGCTGAGTTAACCGGCCAGCCATTAGTTTTCTAAATTCCTTATTTTACTTGTATTTAGGAAATATTTGAATCTAATCAGCTAGAGTACATCTTGCTTAGTCTAGTCCCTGTTATCAATATGAAATATTGCCTATTTTATCTAGAATAGAGTTCCCTCTTATATCCTTCAAAGTTTTATATACAACAGAACCTTAGTTTCCTAGTTGCAGGAAAACCTAGTACTATAAAGTTGTAAAAAGTCTCCTCCTGAATACAGAATTGGACTTATGCTATATAATTATTTTAGAATTGTTCTCTATCATGTAACAGGGTCATAGGTCTCTTAAATGTGACTTGAAATAATTATTTTTGCAACGAGAATATAGTACTATTTGAATAAAGATTGACTAGAATTTTCATGAGTTTTGTTTTATTTTGTTTTTTGGTTTTTGTCAGCTGGTTGGTGCAGGGATCAAACCCTGGACTTTGGTGTTTTTCATCACCACACTCTAACCAACTGAACTAACTGGCCAGCCCCAGAGATTTCTTATATATATTAGGTACATGATAAAAAAGTTTTACTTATAGTTGTATCTTGGCCTTATATTAGCCTTGTTTTACTCCAGTGAGGATTTAGGTGTGATGACTTCCTTTATAGAATGATTTACTGAAATAAGATAATATGAAAATACCTGTGTGTTATACACAGTAGGTGTTCAATATATTCATACATACAAGGGGTCCTCAAAAAATTCATGGAAAGATTTGTATTAACTTTCAATTTCATTTTTTCACAAACTTTTTGAAGTACTCTTGTATTCTCAGATTCAACTTCATTTGTCAAGAAGATTTAAGTTAGTCTTAATTTATAAATTCGGTTTTCAACTAATTTGGGGGAAATTATAAGTTATTGAAATGAGGGCATACATATTAACATGAAAGAAATATTTCAAGAGAATATTTTTCAAATTTGTAAAATATTTGTATCTACAGTTTTTTAAAATGTGAGTATTATTGCTATAGATGATACAGCTAAAAAGCAGTCATTTCCTCCTTTAAAACCTCTTTTTCCTCTAATTATAAAAAAATTTATTCAGTGGATTTTGACTGTAAAACTCCATTAATATTGTTAAAATGCATAGACTTATTAGAAAGCAATTTCCTTTGACCTTTTCGTTTGTATTATTTCTTAAGTTAATGGACTAAATTACTTTTTTAAAATAGCAGGACAGTTAGATAAGAGGGATCCATTTTAGTTTGTCCTAATGGAATCCTTAAGAATAACAGAAAAGTCAGAAGTTTGAATGATCTTTAATTTCCTTTTTGTACCCTTCCTAACATAGTATATTTTCTGTTGAAAGGTAGCTCCATAATGAAATCTGAGCAAATAACTTGCAGCTTGTTCCTTCTACTACCTACCCTCATCCAATACCTTATAGAAATGTGTTAAGCATGTTCGAGATTGTGGGGCCTGCAGTAGAAGAAGTATATTCCAGAGACAGTGCTTGAGGAACGGTATCCTTATTTTAAGCTCTGCCTCAGTTTGTACAAGAAGTTGTCCTTACTATTTGCATGCTTTAAATTAGCCTTCCTCTTGTAGAAGAATTATGAGGAGAATCTTCTTAGTTGTGGTGACCTATATCCTTCAAAGTCTAAAGAATCAAACTTCCCTTGAGCAACCACAAGTTAAATGCTTACTTCTGTATATTTAGCTGTATATTATTACTTGGGAAATTGGTTTGGACAAGTTAACTAACTAGAGAATTAGAAATTAATTTGTTTTCACTCAAGTTTGTCTTTTATGTTCTGTGAGAGGGAATGGTTATCATCTAAATTTTAGGTATATTATTTAGTTTAATGTTTACCTGATTATGTTTAAAATAGGATCGTATTTGGCAAAACAAGCAGTAAATTGGGCAAATCACTTTCAATGGTGATAGAGATCATGACTGTTCAGTTGTTGTTAGGCTGCATCTCTCGCCATTTAGGAAAATGCTAATTGATGATGAGCCATATAAAAAAGAATGGCTAATAGTGATTTGAATGCAACTATTATAAATTTAAAAATGGTTTTGAGAGAAAAGAGTTGCTGTGGTATGATTAAGCCTTGATTTTCCTGTGATATTTAAGTTGCCACAAATTATAGGAAGGGAAATCTTGGATCATTGGCTTTTAGACTGTTAACTTTGTATCGTTAATTAAACTTTTGAAAGTTGTGGGATAAATCACATGCTTTTCTAGGGAAACAAGAAACAGTATTAATGAGCGACAACCCAATAATTACCCTTGTGAGTACATAACAGGGACACATTCATGTCCTTTCTTTGTGCAATAACTTTTACAAAGAAGTATTTTTAAACTGATCATTAATTTTATGACCACAGAAATGAGATGCAAAATTTATGCTGTTGTCATTGGCACAGGCTCAAGGCACCACTGACATTATGTGTGATTGTAATAGAATGGCTGCCAACTAATGATTCTGTAGACATTTCATTTGAGCGTGCTTTTCTTTTAGATGTCTGATTAGGCTGTAATGCTTTCAATTATGCCTGTAAATTGTATTGGATACGTTTACCTGATGCCCAATGTTGATTTGCAGTTCAGTTTTCTATTACATAAACACAAGTTGAACATTTTCCTTTTAATTTATAGAAATCTTTGCAGGTATAGCTACAAATAGCCCCTGGGGAAGAAAAATTTTTTGCATTACTCGACAGCGACCCCTGTGTTCAATTAAAGCTCTTTATAAGCTGCTGTCTTATGCTCTTCATGGGGATGAAAAAAAAATTAGGGAGCGGGAAAGGGATGGGTCATCACTGGAACAGCAGTAAGATGAAGACCATGTTGAAAAATGGTGTGTCCTTTCCACTTAATACAGGTTAAAAAGGAAATAGCCCTGTACTGACACAATATAAATTCTTTACTTTCTGAGTTAATTCAAAGGAAGCTGGGGGGTGGAGGGGCAAATGAGGCCAGTAGAGTACTTAATTTATTTTGTCTTAGATAAATATAAATATCACACTGATTTTTTTAAAAAGATACTTGTGCTGAGAATACTAAGGTCAAAGATTCAGATCCCTGTACCAGCCAGCCACCAAAAAAACAAAACAAAACAAAACACAAACAAAAAAAAAAACAGTGTTGGAATAAACTGCAGTTCTTAGGATGGGTAAGTTGAAGACAATTTCACTTTCATGTGTAATGTGAAAATTATTAAAAAAAAAAAAACCCCAAGAAACCACAGAGGTCTTTAACATGTCAATGACCAATTTGTGTAGAATAAGTACTCTTAACTCAAATTAAATATTATTGAGTTTGTAGCTTTGATGATCTTTTTGCTATGGGCACATATATTTAAAAATTTATATCAAATGTAGATTGGGTGTGTACATGGGTGTCTGTGTGTATATATAGATGCATATATACATGCGTACTTACACATAAAAATGCATAATGGATATCATCAAAGCATAATAAACTACTCCTGATTTTTAGAACTTTTAAGTTTTAATTTTTTCTGATTATTTCCACATAGAGTTTAATAGATTTAAGCCTGAGCTCCTGAATTTTATTCAAGAATTTTTCCATATGTTCTTTGGTTTTACTTGGTCTTTTTTTAATAGTCATAATAGCATAATCTGCTAAGTGCTAATTTCTAGTGAGGTATTTGAAGTATCCTAATACCATTTTTCCATAGCAAGATTTATATTTTAATGTGTGATATGAAATATTCTTAGAAAATTCATACCATAAAAATTCTTACTTTGTCAAGAATATAAGGGTACTCCTAGTAACTAAGAATAACTGAGAATTTTGTGCTCTCTCTAACTACTTATTCCATGAATAGTCATAACATGTTCAAAATATTTTTACTGGCACTTTGAGGTTTCTTCTTACCTTGTATTTGAAATCAGACCACTCTTCATAAGAGAAGTATTGTAAGGGACCACTGAAAGTTCTGAAAAGTACTTTGAAGATCTCAAAAGAAAGATTAGATCTGAATAATGAGTAGTGTTTTTATGTGTTCCTTGGAATTTTAGTTGGAGAAGAAACATCATATTTAGTGCACTTAGTGGTGGAATCACTAAATGACAAGATAGCTATCTCTAGATTTTGTTCTTATTGTCTTAATGAGATGTCTATGTCTTTACTTTTTCAGGAAAAGGATGACAGTTACTCTTGAAATAGCAAAATTATAAGGAAATAGAGTATTTTTTATTATTGTTTTGACAGTGTTGTCTTGAAAGAAGCTATTGACTCTGCCAAAAATATGGTGAAAAATAGGGTGATAGCCACCAAATGGATATCAGAGGATACAGATATCCATTTGTAGAGAATAGTAGCTGTAATCTGTTCTTCTGACGAATTAACATTATTTTAAATAGCTAAATTATTAAAGGCATATCTTGGATTTTTTTACAGGTGATGCAGAAGATGGGGAAGAATATGATGACCCTTTAGCTGGGACACCAGACACTATTTCATTAGCCTCAGAACGATATGATAAAGATGATGAAGGCCCCTCTGATGGTATGTGACATTTTTCTGTAGAATATACCTCTTTACACTTTCACACAAAACAATGCCTTCTTGTTATGTACTATTTTCAGGTGATGGTCTTATCAGAAAACAGATAACCACAGAGGCTTCAGTTAACTTACCTACCAGAACCTTTAAAGGAACAAAAGAGCTCTCTCTAGTGGTTCTAGTAAGGTTTTCTTATGTATGAAGTTGCTTCTTTTTCTAGGTAATTTTCTTTACTAAATTTTTTTAGAAGAGTGCTTGCATCGTTGTATGAATATTATTAGTAACAGTTTGTTGGTTAATTTAATATTATCAGATTCTTGCTTAATTTTATTGTGCTGTTTAATGGCTTGTTGTATTATTTATTTTATAAATAATGAAAATGGTTTTTGATCTATTTTTTTCAGAAAACTTCATAGAAAAGTGAATTTATAAAATATTTAATTATTTCTACATGGTCTTCTCACATTGAGATAGGTTTTTATCAAATGCTTATTTTAATACACATTTTCATTTGTGATTGTCACATAAAAATGCCCTGCATTATACAGTAATAATATGTAGTATTTTATATTAATTGAATTAGTGATAAAGATGATTATCTTTTAGTAATTTCTAAAAACTATTGAATGTTGCTGAAGTTATGAAACTTGTTTTTAGTATGGCATGTGCTTTCTCTGTTATAGCTAGTTAAGTGCATCTGCATTTTAGAAACCTTATAAGGGTGATATATTGTTATAAATTAAGAATGCGTATTGATAAATTAGCCATGCATATTAATTTGTGGCACTCAAAGTTTCACATAGACATAGAANTTTAGAACTTTTAAGTTTTAATTTTTTCTGATTATTTCCACATAGAGTTTAATAGATTTAAGCCTGAGCTCCTGAATTTTATTCAAGAATTTTTCCATATGTTCTTTGGTTTTACTTGGTCTTTTTTTAATAGTCATAATAGCATAATCTGCTAAGTGCTAATTTCTAGTGAGGTATTTGAAGTATCCTAATACCATTTTTCCATAGCAAGATTTATATTTTAATGTGTGATATGAAATATTCTTAGAAAATTCATACCATAAAAATTCTTACTTTGTCAAGAATATAAGGGTACTCCTAGTAACTAAGAATAACTGAGAATTTTGTGCTCTCTCTAACTACTTATTCCATGAATAGTCATAACATGTTCAAAATATTTTTACTGGCACTTTGAGGTTTCTTCTTACCTTGTATTTGAAATCAGACCACTCTTCATAAGAGAAGTATTGTAAGGGACCACTGAAAGTTCTGAAAAGTACTTTGAAGATCTCAAAAGAAAGATTAGATCTGAATAATGAGTAGTGTTTTTATGTGTTCCTTGGAATTTTAGTTGGAGAAGAAACATCATATTTAGTGCACTTAGTGGTGGAATCACTAAATGACAAGATAGCTATCTCTAGATTTTGTTCTTATTGTCTTAATGAGATGTCTATGTCTTTACTTTTTCAGGAAAAGGATGACAGTTACTCTTGAAATAGCAAAATTATAAGGAAATAGAGTATTTTTTATTATTGTTTTGACAGTGTTGTCTTGAAAGAAGCTATTGACTCTGCCAAAAATATGGTGAAAAATAGGGTGATAGCCACCAAATGGATATCAGAGGATACAGATATCCATTTGTAGAGAATAGTAGCTGTAATCTGGATCTACCCAGAAACTGTGGCCCAAAAGTAATACTCTAAGTACTACAGGATTCCTACAGGGATTTTCACCGTATTTTTTGGGTAATCACTGAGGTGGCTGGTTTTCTCTTGGATTGATAACAGGTAATTTGAATTGTTAACAGATACTTGATACAGTATAAGCATACATTTTTCTTTCTTGTTGAATCTGAGTGAAAAATGAGTGCTTATATATATCTGGGCCAGCAAATATCTGATTCAGTGTTTTGTTTTTTGTTTGTTTGTTTTTTAAAATCACTTTAACTGAATATATGGAAAAAACCAAAATCATAAGATCTTATTATCATGGGGATGAAATGACCTAGAATAAATGAAGAAACCAACCAACCAGCCAACCAACGTAGGATTTGAAAATCAAATAGGAAACTGGCCAGAACATTTAAAAAATGGTAACATACCACTGAATGAAAATGGAAAGAGTCTAGTTTGTAAATCATCTTGTTTGAATTTAAAAGGATTATATGAGTTTTTAGGCAGTTTTTCCCATAAAGGATTCCTACTCGAAAATGCAACTGTTTTTGATCTACTTTATTGTAATCCTGGGATTTTTAGTGAAAAGCGAAATGTTCCTATGGCTTCAAATCATCAATTTCTTATAATAATTTTTCAAATTATTGAGTAGCTAAATGGAACTACTTTAATTATTTTTTGTATTGTGTTTTTAGGCTTTTTTTGTTATTATTATTTTGGGTTTTTTGTTTGATTGTTTTGGATACACACTCTATTTTACCCTGCGTCTTCTTTATGAATTCTTCTTTTAGAGACAATCCTAATTTTGAGACTGTATCCTTTTGTGTCACAAATAAGCACTTGTCTACTGACCTTCGGAAACTCTTATGTCTCAGTTACAAGGGATATAAACTGAAGGACCTGTTTTATCTACTTCAAGAAGTTTTTTGTTTTTACATGACAATGACTGAACTTAATAGTAAAACTTTCTTCTTCTGACGAAGTAACATTATTTTAAATAGCTAAATTATTCAAGGCATATCTTGGATTTTTTTACAGGTGATGCAGAAGATGGGGAAGAATATGATGACCCTTTAGCTGGGACACCAGACACTATTTCATTAGCCTCAGAACGATATGATAAAGATGATGAAGGCCCCTCTGATGGTATGTGACATTTTTCTGTAGAATATACCTCTTTACACTTTCACACAAAACAATGCCTTCTTGTTATGTACTATTTTCAGGTGATGGTCTTATCAGAAAACAGATAACCACAGAGGCTTCAGTTAACTTACCTACCAGAACCTTTAAAGGAACAAAAGAGCTCTCTCTAGTGGTTCTAGTAAGGTTTTCTTATGTATGAAGTTGCTTCTTTTTCTAGGTAATTTTCTTTACTAAATTTTTTTAGAAGAGTGCTTGCATCGTTGTATGAATATTATTAGTAACAGTTTGTTGGTTAATTTAATATTATCAGATTCTTGCTTAATTTTATTGTGCTGTTTAATGGCTTGTTGTATTATTTATTTTATAAATAATGAAAATGGTTTTTGATCTATTTTTTTCAGAAAACTTCATAGAAAAGTGAATTTATAAAATATTTAATTATTTCTACATGGTCTTCTCACATTCAGATAGGTTTTTA